CTGTTTAGCATGCACAATTTAGAGTAGGCTAGTAATTGACTCCTTGATGAAGAAGCTCCTGTGGATCCATCAATGTGTAAGCTAAATAAATAAGCTAAAATCACGGTGGACATTGCATGTATGTACTGCCAGATACAAATGAAAGCTCTACATCATATTCCACATGGTTCCTCACAAGAGTCCCTGCACCTGGTAATGATGTCTTATGTGAGTTTGCCAGGAACCAATACTGTCAAAATTTGATTAACAACTGGCCATTGTATCTATATAAGAATTTGACCAACATAATTCTAGATAAACACAATCATTGCATGAAGATCTGAGATCTCCAGACACCTAAATAATAGGCAAAGTATAAAAAAATATATATTTTCAATAAAAATTATGTATTAATGAAAGCATTTACTTGTTTTAATGATTTCTGTATAGATTTTATAATTTCAACTATGTCATTTTCAGTATACCAGCATTGGCACCAAACATCAAGATGTGGAAAAGTTTCTAGCAAGGCTTACTTCTTCCTGCTGAACACAAGCTCTCTCCCTAATCCTCCCTCTCCTATGCTCACATACTTTTAAACTTAATTTGAGAATACAATTCAAATTATCATATTCTAAAAGTCACATTTATAAATAATGAGTGACATTGGAAAATGGCACAAAAACTAAAAAATTAAATAACATTGCAAAGGAGAGGCATGGAGTCTTGTCACTGCACTTGTCACTTGTTTATATGCACCCAGCCTACAAGCTTCACACCCAGCAGAATGGCTGCTCAAGTAAGCCTAATGCCTGTATTTTGGGCCACATGATGGCAGTGAAGCATCCCGATCAAATCAGGGGCATAGCTCTGATAAAATGACACATGGGCCCTAAGTAGACCCTATAATGTCCGAGTGTCATAATCGCACAACAAAGCACCAAAGTTACCCAAAACTTGGAGGTTAAAATGCTCACATGGAGTTCCCATCCTGAAACTTTTTGTGATTTTTTTGAATTCTTAACCAATTATTAACAGAAGGCATTGTCTTCAAAAGAAAGAAAGGAGATTGCTGTACATGGAACAGAGCTATTGTTATATTGAAAAGACATGAAATCAAACTAGATGCAGCTTCCTATTGACTCATATAATCAGTGACAGGGATTTAGGTGGTAACAAATTAAGGAAAGAAGCCTTGGTTGTATAATCCATATAGTGGTTTGACAAAGAACTGATATGATTTATTTACATTCTTTCCATGGATATTTTATTATTAGACATCTTTTACACCTGCAAATCAGTCTTATTTTCCAAACTCATCTATAATAGCTATACAACTGTACTGAAACAACAAAAATACCATAATTTTCTCTTACCAAGATCAGCCAATGTTATTTCAGGTTTACTTGTATCTCCTGGCATTACAAATTTCACATAGGTTGTTCCATTATGGACAGTAGTTGCTGCTAGTCCTTGATAAGCAAGTGTTTCCACTACTAGGTGGAGGTTGTCTGCAGTTCCAATACATTCATTAATTCTATGGTACAGGTGAGGTAAAGCAACTGGTAGATTCACCGGATAATTTTTAGTTGCAGATTCCCAATATCTCTTCGTCACTTGATCACACATTTCCTTAAAAAATAAAAAATAAAAAATAAATAAATGATACAAAAACAAACTAAGAAGATTAGGAAGTAGAATGACTACTGGAAAACACAATATGAGTTCCTTCTGTAAATGTAAGCTACATTATATATATTGACCTATTTTGGATATGTAAATTCAAAAATATCTACATATGATGACATGTAAAATTATATAGATACATTTAAAGACATTAATTCTACATACACATATGCATGTATGTATATACAAATTTTAACATGTAATCATATATACAAACAAACAAAAACATATAATATTTGCATGAGATTTTCAAGTTCAGACACATCTCTTTCAAGTCCCATTACAGCTTCAAAGTGACATACCCAAACTTGAACAACAGACCCTATACATAATTTAAAATCACAGGTTTATAGCCATCCCCTGCCCCTAATTGAAGAGCAATGCATGGACCTACTAAAAAAAGAGTCCATCTACCAGGATGAATAACCTCAAAGAACAGTGTGTCTGTCTGTGATGTTCACAAGCCTTTGGGGTCTCAAATCATCAAGCTTCATGCTTCAGGCTATGAGCATTACAATATTGCAGTGTCCAAACTGCTCCTAATTCAAGCACACAAAACACACCCACACACGAAACTGAATGAATGTCATATATACATATGTATATACATATGCACACACACACACACACACATACATACATACATAAATACACACATACATATATATACATAAGCACATACATATGCATATAAATACATACATTTATGCACATATATTCACACATACATATATATATACAAGACTAATCTGATTTTTTTCAATATGGCATCATCTGTCTTGTATCAAATATTCTAAATATGCTTACCTGCAACATCACTGTATTGACAAAAGTA